TCGCAGGGACATCCACAGCACCGCCATGGCCGCGAAAGCGCCACACCAAAGCCATGTTTTCCTTTGTTTACGCCCCAAAAAGTATTTGAAAACATCATTTTAAGCTTTGGCAGGAAAGCTCTTGTCTTGCCATATGCCCTCCCCATAGACAGATTCTGTTACCCAGGCTTTACGATGACTAAATATCTTTTCATCAAATAATCTACTCAGCGTGGCACAGCAGAAAATGTCAAAAGTCACATAATGTTTCAGATCCAGTTAGAATACAAAAATGCTATATTAGATATTGGTTGTCAAATATTTATTTAAGGCATGAGTATCGTAATACGTCTTATGATGAGAATGTGACCTGTGTGAGAATTATCAACCGAGGCTGTTAAACCGCAATTGATAACCAATCGAATATTGCATTATGATGTTACCACTCGATTATCGTAGATCGTTAGACGCACTTTGAAACAAAAATCAAGCGAACTATAATTTTTGTTTAAATTCTCTAGTTGGATAAGATGGCAAAACGTGCCCCGGCTTGAAATCGTAAAGAAAATCTTTCCTAAGGATTGTGACCACCAAAAAAGTCTTTTCATAGACGTTTTAGATTCCTGCATTTCACATCCTTCGTAAAAACGAAAAACGTGTTATTTTATTTTTCCATTGATTTGGTAGTATGAATTTCCATGAAAAATAATTCTTCATGTGAAATTTACTAAGTTTTTGAATTTTATTTGCCGCGAAATTAAACATTTAAATAGATTTGAAAATTTTGGAAAAAAAAGGTTTTTATTCCGCCGTTGAGAAAATTCTCAAATACCCTAAAAATCAGCTCTCTTCTAAGTTTTCTCCACATTTTTCTGATTAGTGCGCCATTTATAAAATTACACATTTTTAATCATTTTGCATGTTTTAATATGTAATGAACTGTATATATAATTAGAATATTATTTGTTTTCTAGTGATAATATAAGCAATATTGAAAGGCTAATACCAATAAATAATTTTGTCACTATTTTGACCGTTAGATCTAACCCCAACAAATGGTGAACACTTTTTTTTAGTAATTTTTAATTACTTGAAATGTCTGCAAAATTCTCAATTGTAGAGAATTGAAAATTGCTTAGGCGGAAACTTGCGTACAGAAACCATTTGGAGAAAACTGAAGTGACAAAATCTTGCAGGTTAAGAGGTAAGCTTAAGTAAACGCGAAAACTATTGCAATTTCGAGAAACGTTTTTAAGATATTTATTGTTATTGAATTATGTAATATATCTTAATATACATATTTAAAAAATATTCAAGAGTTCAAAACTAGTGGTGCTACATCAGCACATACTTTGTCGCATAATTTGTCACGGCTACGCAATGCTATAATACAATTCAATAGCCAATCAGTTCGACCTACAATAGGATTTCTTCTCAGCAGAAATTATTTTCTTCGTTCCAGGATTCGATCTCGGAGCCTGAGAATCAACATGCCAGTCACTTTACCTCTACATCATCAGCTACACAGTTAAACTCTTACCTTTCTGGTGCTAAAAGAAATATGAACATTTGCATTTGCAATTTTCAAACATTTGTTTCATTTAAATTAATCCTAGGTTTTGTTTAAAAAAATATTTTATGAAGGAAAAAAATCTCTATCGTCAGAATTGTAGTTCTACAATGTTAATTTTGTTTGTAATTTTGGAAAATACAGATTGTGCGTTGAAAATGAAACCTAAGCCATTTGAAAGGTCCTTTGCTCTATGCAACGATTAGATTTAAGGGAAAAAAGTGGAGCTCTTAAAAAAATGAAAAAGGGGTAGGGGTTGAAGGAAAGTTCCCTCAAAATTAAAATATCTGTTTCAAATTCACGGATTCGTGACATCAGCCTGATCATTTGAAGAATATTCATTTTGGTGAATGTCTTGTTTACTTTAGTCTCTAAAGTTACTCATACGACACGAACGGACGGGTAAGGAAGTTTTTCGAATTTTTTTTTAAGGTTCAAGAACACCCAGAACACTTGCGCTTTGACAACCCTATGAAAAGAAAGTAATGTACGAGCAAGAAGCAATCAATTTTTTTCGAATTAGCGACATATAAAACGCGTTTTCTGTCGAAATCTGGACACTTTCTCTTGCAAAACTACGGAACTCTCTTTATACATAGTATGTTACGTGGGGGTAAAATAGGCAAGGGTAACCAGGATTTGAACTTGCGTGCCTATAATCAGCAGTACTGGCAATATTACGCTATTACAAATATTTCTTCTTGATGTGTCCAGGGGTACTGAAAAAATATTAATGTGATATTCATTGCGCTTATTTATTTATCAGTGAAATGTATCGCCAGGTGTCAAAGATATCAAATTCACGATACGAATTAATAGGAATAAAACACGCGATAGTACAATAGTTGTTTAGTTAAAAAAAATTCTACGCTAGTCTTTAACACGCGTTGTTAGTAAGAGCAGTCGATTTGAAATTGAGAATTGCATTAACAGCAAGTTTGTACCTGATTCTAAAAGACTATTAAGTCACTAAAATAACTAGTGGCGCGACAACAGCACATACTTTATAGTGTTATTTATAAAGGTTACGAATTATCATATTAACTGTAATTAATCAAAAAAGTGTTCTCTACCCTTAAATATTATTTGTCATGGCTCAAATATGACCATAAGTGCGTAAGCATACTATTGAATATCCATGCCTACCAGATAACGCACGCCGTTTACTTTCCTGTTTGGAAGTACTTACTGCTGCGATTCAACATTTTCTCTCATGAATAAAATTAAAACTAGGTTCAGAATCTAAATTACAAAAGCTCATTCAAATATTCAATTACTTTGAAGCAAAAACAAATCCAAAAAACCATCTTAATTAAATTTCAGATATTTATCTATTTTCTATTGTATTCTTTTTTAATGCCTTAAATTTATTTGAAAATACTCGTATTATATTATTATTGTAAAATGTATTTAAATATGTAGTAGTGTCTTATGCGGCCTTATATCTTTGTTATGATTTATAAGATGAACATAATGTAATGACACCATATATAATTTGAATATATTTCACCCTCCGCATACAGTGATGCCATGCTCAAATGTTGATTTTGTGACGATGTATTTGCTTTAAAAGAACTAACTTCGTGCAAACGTTTTTATTATGTTACAGATATAATATTTTAATGATAATCGCGATAAATGTATAACTATATCCTAATGCATTAATGAGGCAATATAGAGGATGGCCATCAGCTCTGAATTTTTTACATTGTTGATATATCATCGCTTTAAAAAGGTTTGATAGGTGATTATGCTATAATTTAAGAGAAATGGAACGTCCCTTCGATGATATTAAGGCAAGGTTGAGTCATATTATCCTTGTTTGTAAATATATTATGTGCTGCAAATAATGTAACGGTTAAGAGTTATTCACGTTTGTTCTTTTGTAAAAGTATGAAATTACTCATGTCCTGGCTATTAAAATAATTGTGGTAGCAGCACAGGCGCTTCGTTTGAATTGGTTGGGACTTTTCAGGTGATTGCTGAAGTGTTAGTAGAGCAGAAATGGCATTATTATAATATTACTTAACAGTTCCGAATGATGCGCAAAAGTATGTGATGTTGTAGCACCGCTAGTTTGTATTTTTGTGGTTGAGTAGGAGTAGTGTGTGTAGAGGCAAGTTCGGAATAATTCGTGCTGAAGAACTCACATAAAAGAACCACTCTTTTCGTATCTCAAAATAACTTTATTTGTATAAATATTGCTACAAAATTATAATAATAAAAGAGAGTGAAGGCGTTGGGCGAGGGCGTGGGCGGGCGGTGGGCGGGGCCGCGCACCGCCGCCCACAAGCGCGACGCCCAGAAGCGCCTCTGGAGCGTCGAGAGGAATTCAAATAAATAGTTTCTTACTCCATGTCCAAAGCATTATTTGCCTACATCATTTATCCACTACTGCCATTTAAAATTTAGTGCCCCACATACACATTCATTGACAGAGATGCAGTTAGTTTCGATGAAAAGAGTTGAGATCATTGAGGGGTGCATTTGAAATATTAAATATTCCAAATGAATGTGAATTACAAGAAAGTGTAATGTGTGCGTGAGTTAGAGCATTTGTGTATAACTTCAGTCTTTCTAGGTTCATGAGTAGTTATTCTTGATTTACAGCAACCGATTGACAACGGCAGTTATAAACGTTTTTTCGCAAATCGATATATTGAATATCTGCGAGAATACTACCACACTTGACAAATTTATTGCGACTGCATAATCGACTATTTCATAATGTTGAGGCTTTTATAGCTCGACAACTTAGAAAAAAATGAACTGCGTATGCGCGAAAAGTGCAGGAAGGGAAGGTTCCCTCTCTTCGTGGCCCAACTTCCCCACCTGAGGAGCCGCCGCCGCCGCCGCAAGACATTTGCCGCAAAGGGCTCTTGTTTTGGACTTTTTCTCGCTCGGAAGGGCATCATCTTGTGCACGCTTCCTTCTGTGCGTAGGTGTCGATCTCCTATTTGCGGAATTTTCCAGTTTTAACATTTCTGTTGATAATGGCTTCGACTTCAACATTGGCACGTGTATCAGGGCGACCATGCAGAGGCCAGGCTCGTATCGAGTATCGATACAAGAGTACCGAGCGACACAGTACTTCCGGCAAATGAAAATCGCACACAATGTGATTTTCAGTAACAAATGCAAACGTTGAAAAATTAACCAGGAATGCGCCAGGCGTTTCGGAGTCAACTGTGAAGAAAATTGTGAAGGTCAGAAAAGGCAAGCAAAGGTCGACAAGCGATGACTCTCTTGCGTAACCGCGAATGACAGCAGCGTCGCCGTCAAGAGCGTGAGAATGAAGTTGCAAGAGCGAATCGGTTATCGTTAAAGGCGGTCCTTGACTCCAACTGAGTTCCCCTTCGGGAGTGGTTGGTGCTTTTTTCTAAGTTGTCGTGCTCCAGCGTATTGCCTGGTGTTGACCCCGCGTGTTGCCGCCGGGCGGAGGGGAGGGGGGCTAGTGGCAGGCGCAGGTGCTGGCCACCATGTCCTCGTAGATCTTGAGCACGACGTCGCCCTGGTCGTTGGTGTAGAGCAGGCTGAGGCCCTCGAGGCGGTCGGGCGCGCAGCACGGCGCGCGCGCGTGTGCCTGCAGCCCCAAGGCGTGCACGATGCTCTGCACGGTGGCGTGGTTGGTGGGGTTGAGCGCGGGCCCCACCGGGTACGGGCACGCGCCGGCGCACTGGAACGCGTTGTAGCCGGCCGGCGAGATGATCCACGAGCTCCAGCCGATCTCGTCGAACTCCACCCACAGGTCCTGGCGCGCGCACACGCCGCCGTCACCGTCGCCGGTGGCGTTGGCGGCGGCGGCGGCGGCTGGCTGCTGCTGCTGGCTGGTGCCGTGGCGCCGCCGCCGCCGGCGAGGCCCGCTCCAGGGCGCGGCGCGGCGCGCCCGCCCGCCCCGCCGCTCCTCGCCCGCGCCGCCCTCCGCGGACTCCTCGTCGTCGTACTCGGCCTCCTCGTCCTCGTCCTCGGCGTCCACTTCGTTCTCAGAGGGCGGCGAGAACGCAGGAGGCCCTGAAACACGCACGTTGCAAGCACGCCGTGAGGACTCCCCCACAGCTGCCCTCCAAGGCAGAAAGGGATCGCTTTGCAGTCAAACGCTTTAATAACATCCCTCTGGTTGAATTTGAAATTCAATGTTACTAAATACCATCGTCTATTGCGGTCATTCTGTGATGGCTCACTATCATGTTCCTTCTTAGTTACATTATTTTGGTGAAGCCGAATTTGTTTTACGTCGTTCTAAAATATTAAGGAAAAAATGATACCAAAAGTGAAAGATACCTCAAAATCTGTGGGAATTTAGGTCACACCATCTTTAATTATGAGACTGTAATCAGTACCTATACACGTCATTTATAGACTGATACACTAGCACGACCCGAAGTTACTTTCAAATAGATCTGTTATGAGGAGTGTGATTTTTGCCTTTAATCGCGAACAAAAACTTCAAGATCGTTTATGTTAAAATTCAATTTTTTTAGTATTTAGGCTTTGGCTACAAGTGGGGTCCAGAATAAGAAGCGGAACGATATAGAAATGGTTCAGAGAAAATGTTACTAATTTCAAGAACAGATTTTGAGGTTAAAGATCACGTTCTTGATGGTCAGGTGGTTGGAAATTTCATTAAAAACGAAGATACATTTGTGAAGATTACATTGATTGTTAGAAAGTTTTCTTCTTAAACATTGTTTTTGAAACTTCTTCCTGTTTTCAAAATAGTCAACTTCAAAATTAATATTTGATCTGTTAGATAAATTTCCGGATAGTTTGTTAAATACTTGTGCCCCCATTAGTCACTCGTTAACGTACACATTTAATGCAATCTTATGCACCAGGACATTTCTAGATACTTAAAAAAATTATGATTAGACCGCTCTTAAAAAAGTAGAAAAACAACAAAAGATTCAGAATTATCGTCAAACAGTGTTGTCAGTGTTTGAATAATATTGGAGAGACTTTCCACGTACCAATTAAAACTTTTAAATATGATGCGTTTTCAGATTCAGAACAAAAATTAGAAATTCAAAATCTACGGAAACAATCATATTTTCTTTTCTTAAAGATGTTGATTCTTCAATGGATCAAAATCAAGTTCCTACTGGAATATTTTTTGATCGGAGCATTTGACATCGTTGATCATAACATTTTAACTTCAATATTATCGTCCGATGTAATTTGATGTTGCTTGCATTTGGTTAAGTTGTTACCTTAAATAATGATCTCAGAGAGTAGGAAAACCACCCTGAATTAATAGGACTTTCTTTACTTACCTTTTCGATTCATTGCCAATTGCGCGTGTGGTCTGTCAGGGTTTGATTGTAGTCTCTACTCTCTCCTACCAAACGTAACCGATACACCCTTCTCGATTCGAAACGGAAAAACAATTCTCTTTGCTGATGACACGAATATTCTTTGTAATGTGGAAACAGTAAATAGTACTCTATCAGAAGGTTCAGATTGGTCTCTTAATAAGAAATTAACTACTAGAACCCGTGCGAAAACGTCGTACATTCGAAATCTTTTGCATATTTTGACGGTCAGCGACTTGCTACTTCTCTTGGGATCAATTCGTTGACCTTCACGTTTTCATCTCGTAAAGTACTAAAGCTGGCATATTAAATAGAGCACGTAGGTTTCTGCGGTCAACCTGCCGAACATTCAGCTGCTAGGTTGTTGAACGGTTTATATGTCCTAGCAAATTAAAAAATACATGTATTTAATTTTTTAAATCCACGAGTTTTAAAGAAACATACTCTTGTGAAAAGTATTTTAATATATTGTATAAAAAGCTTCAGGTAAAGTACCCTAAAAATGAAAAGATCCAAACCAAATTCGATGAGCAGCGACAACACACAGATCGATCGCGAAATATTTTTACTGAAAAACCTGTGAACAGTTTAGGCGCTGCTGTTGTCCATTTATATTCCAGTTTTTACAGATCAGGAAACTTACTGGACAGACCAATTCGGCCCTACTTAGAAGCCTAAATGGCGTGCTGCTCTACATATGCGGACGAGCCAATTGTCTTTCCTGTGACAGATTCAGGGTGTCAGAGAGACATGCTCGTCCAAACGAACATTGCTTTGTAATTTTACTCAATTTATTCAAAATAACTACTATATATAATCACATCCAAATCAGTATTCTTATTATGAATATAATGGTATATTTTTTTAAATTTCAAACTATTTATTGAAACAAATATTTTAAAGATGTCAATGCGGTGTCCGAACTAAAACAGCCTTCAGAACCCTAAATCCCCCTCGCACCACATGTGTACAAGACCAGCACACTCTTCCAACCCCGTTGTCATCTGACTCATGACTCGCCCGGTAGAATGGAAGCTTTCGCTGCTCAACACAGAGCAGCACAGAACGACCCGGCACTTGCAGACGTTTAAAAATTCCATTTTCTCAGAATTAATTAATTAATTAATTTATTATTATTATTATTATTATTATTATTATTATTATTATTATTATTATTATTATTTAGAACTAAAATAGTGATTGAAGTATTTCCGGCACGTTTGTGCGTCGATGAACGTTAATGTAAGACCATTTCTTGTCAGATGTTTAGCCGATTGTTCTCACGAAATATATAGAAAAGTCGTTATTAATATACGGATAGTAAACGAAGGGAAAAGTGTTTCAATAAACAATTGTAAACTCCATTGCAAATGAACGATACGCAATGATCTTAAGGTAACAAAGTTTTGGCGACTCTCAATTAGATCAATCTTCCAATGGAACGTCCATTTTAGTGAATTGAACACAAAACTAAGAAGAGTATGGTAGTATTTTTTATTAGACTAGATAATATTTTTTAATAAATTTTGAACAAAACGCTCGCTGCTACATGTATTCATAATTCAGTTTATCTAGTGTGTATGAGATGGGGTAGAGACCCCAAGACTTCGGAAAACTTGCACAGATTGCATTTCTCGCCATAGAAAGTGACACACGGTTTTTACCTTTTTTGACGTGAAAAAAATAAATTGTAAATTAAATTAAAATTAACTCTCCATGTACTGTGTCCGGCAAGTTACGGTTTGCCGCAAAGAGATTTCGTTACCTGCCGAACTCCAGAGTGAGACAAGTTGCCTAACAATCAGGGGCAAATGCCATGGAGGGGGGCATAAATACTGTTTAAGAGCTGATTTTCCCGCTATATTTGGGCATGAGTACTGTTTAAGGATCTAATAGTTTATTTTCTCTTATCCCTTGGATGCCCATATCTCATGGAGCTAAGTTATGAACTATTAATGCCAGGGATGGAAGTAGAATTCAAGGATCACACTAACGAAACATTATGAGCTGTTAACACTCAGATAATAGTTACATTTCACCAAACTCGCGCAACGCTAAACTTCCGTTAAAGAAAAATGGGTGATCTAATCGCAGTTAGCAGCAGATGGATAAGCTCATGGATAAGCAATATTGTCCAGTATAACAAGTATTAATTGTTAACAATTGTGAAAAAATACTGTTCATTCCTCTAACTGCATATCATAGAAGATCGAAGAAATAAGTTCCTCTGAAACAAAAACCTAATATTAACATAAAAAACTCAAGGCGATTCTTATCTCTCATACTGTATTATATATCAATCGTACAAGCATATAAACGAAGAAAAATAACTGAACCTTCAGTTAAAAGTTTAGGAAATATCCAATGGTTACGCTAATAACTATTTTTATATTATATTTTCGAAAGACCTGAAGATGATAAAGTTTTCAAAACGTTCTGTTTACAATAGTGAATCATAAACAAAGATAAATTTAAAATCTGCTTTTTAAGTTATAATAAATTTACAGTAGTCTTTCTTTTAAATTATTGTTTAAAAACAATGAACATTGTGTCTTTGGAATCGACAAACTATGAATTCCGATAAAACTTGTGTGATTTACACTAATATTTTATAAGAAAAATTAAGTGTTTTACTTTTTAAGTTTTTCTATGGATAGAAAGAGGAACGCTTAAAACAATGGCACAGATATCATTGTTTATGAACAGTTTGGATTTTTGAAAATTGCAAAACTTATACATAATACGAGAATGTATGTGCGAATGTATATCACTAGTTTCGTTAATTTTTTTGTCTGAATATATAATGAAATACACTTACGAACTTTACTCAGATTTAATTTTCACGGTTACCCCTGATTTTTCAAAGTTACCAAAATTTAATTTTTTTCGGCATCTTCCTACAACTACAATTTTGAAGATGGAGATTTTTCTTCAATTTAAAGTTTTTGTTTACAATCAGGTGTTTAAAAATGTCGTTGAACGTTTTTAAAAACATAGTCGTCTTCGCGCAAATTTACAAAAATACAAGGTGGAAGTACACGGAATTACTCTTCCTGTCAAACACGCTATTACGACTATCACACTTGTAAACTTAAAACGAATAGTGACACATATAAAACGCTTCAATTAGGGCGGTGTATCTCAAAAACATTATCGCTTTTACCATTAGATTTTTCTTTCCGCCCCTTCCTACTGGCCAAAAATAAGCTGAAACTCATAAGTCGTAGTCGTATAATCTAGATCTACTGCATGAAGATCCTCGATAACGTTACTTAAAGTATATTAAAGCCAAATGTAGATAAGGCACAATTATGTAAATACAAAAATGTTGGTGATTAGAAACTTAATTTTTTGCGCAATATTTCCACACTTACTTTATTTATTGACACCAAAAACAGTTAAAAATTGTTTGTAACGTGCTATAGGGAGGAGGTAAATTGAAGTTACATTTATGTTCAGAAGTAGAACAAGGGACCATCTCAGCATTTGCTCAAGGATCAGGGAAACTGGACGAAAACCTGATCGAGATGCTTCGCAAATAGAAGAAAACTCGTTAATGTAGTTTTTAAGTCCCTTCGGTTTTGATGGGGTTTTTATCGTATAATTATAATTATTATTATTACTATTATTATTATTATTATTATTATTATTATTATTATTCCACTGTATAATGTTGGAATGCCTCCAAGAAGCAAATCCACCGCTATTATCTCATCCAGTTATTTTAGTATTGACGATTAACTCATAACCGATTCTTCTGATGATCCTTCTAGTGAAAAACATGTTATGAAATAGGTTACGCTGTAGAGATCTGGCGCATTCGGGAACCGATGAGCTGTGTTAATGTACATTCAAGCAAGAGCAAAGTCGTCCGGCACAGCTCAACGTGTGAGAGGGAAACCAAGTGTTTGTGCTTGCAGTGTGTCTGGACCGAGAATGGCGGTTCCACGAATCGACTGGCGCAGTGGGCTGCAATTCGCCACTTGGACCACACATCACATCAACTCTATGGAATTCGGTAAGACCAAATTTGGAATACAAAATATCTTTAGAGAATATCTGGTATTCTAAGAAAATTTCTAGTTTGTTTTCAGCACACTGAGAATGGAAATTTCATTATTTTTGGCTCTGACACGCATGAAATATTTATAAAAGTTAATAAATAAGAGTAGGGACATCGCAAGATGAGAAGTTCTTCCCGCGAATTGAATAAGAGAAGGTAAAAATAGTGAGCTAACAAGCTTATCATTTGATAAAGAAATGATACATTTATTTTAAAAATATTACTTCTGTTAGACGATACATTGAATTTTTTTGCAATTGATGATGTATATAAGAATGTTTAGAGATACTTTATATAAATTTATAATCTTAAAATCCATCGGTACATATTCACAATGTTTCCACCACATGACAGAGACTCGTCAGATGATACTCGAATTCAAAGTTCATGTGTTTCGTATTTATGTAAAAAATAAATATAAGTAGTCATAAAAGTAGTGTCAAAACGTGACTATGCCCTGAAGTAATTTTAACATAATACATTTACATACAAATGTTGATTAACATAATACATTTGTGAACAAACAAGATCATAAAAATAAGGTAAAATACAAAAGTTTAATTAGCCTGAAGATGTTTTTATAAGCTTTACACTACTTATTCTTTAACACTTGAATTGCAAAAAAAAATTGAATCTCCCCCAATCGTTTTAGTGATAATTATACTGTTACGAAAACTATCTGCATTATAATAATTTTGTACAACAGTGATATTGGAAGTGATGTGTGGATTTCTCTAACTGTGAATCATCTCTACGTGAAACGTTTTGTTAAATTGTAAAAACTCCGCGACATCTTTGAAATTTTCTCTTAATGAATATGATTTTTGACTGATTCATAGTTTGTTTCTTGTTTACCTGGAAGTGGATGTAGCTGGAGCGTGAAATCCTACATGACATGCACACTTTGCCGAATTTCTCTCGCCCTACATCTCCCCCATTGGGTACCGCACCAGCCGGGATAAGCTTCACGTTTGCGACTAGTCTCCCAAGGTGTCTAGTAGGAAAGAACATTGTGTGTGTGTATGTAAGAGGGATCAACATTTTTTCTTGGTACAGATTACCTGCCGATTCTTATCCTTCAGTTCAGAAACTTGAAAATTCGCATCGGAAAGTCGTGGTTATCCGATCCGTTACACGGGCGGTTTCTGTTCGAGCTGCCACTAGACGCCGTCAGTTGCGATGCCGCTGCACAATCGACAGCACAATCGACATCGTAAATTTATTGCAGCATTTGTGTACGCGCGTTCTGGGTGTGTGTCTACGTAACGGTAAAACATGAAGAAAAAATAGAAAGGCCGTCATTATTGATTCAGCAAAGTTAGTTGTGGCTGCAACGGCTTTAGTGAGTGCACAGAAAGAACTCACAGAAAGAATGCATGATGCCTAGGCTGCAGAAGCAAGTTTCAGTAATCTCATATTTGCACGCGTCAGTGAAATAGACTGACCAGAACAGCCGAGACAGAATCTGCCTCGCAAACTAAAGAATCTCATGAATCGCACCACACTTCACCAGAAAACTGAAATTGATAGACGATTGCCTCGAAGGACCTCTCGGTTGGTGACTGCAGTGGCAACAGTTGTTCTGGGCTATCTATAGCTGTCAAACTGTAGGCAGCCCGCGACTCCTTTATCTTGTGTGGGAACAGTGCTTGAGAAGCTACACGTGGAGTCGGGACTAGACCCTAAGAGGTTTCGTCCAGAGTTTGCAGATTCACCAGATGTTACCAATAACTATCTCTACTCAACAAACTAACAAACTATAGAGAACCGGCAACATTTACGTAATATTGTTTGAAGGGAACAAAATTGACAATACCCTACAGTCGGGACTAATAGCACTTTCGGACCTCCCGCTCAGAGCATGAGAGGCAACAGTTGTGGCCGTATGCTATCTTTACACAACAAAGTTACAGTAGGCAACCCGCAACACCATTTTGTGTAAGCTATTCATTGAGAAGCCGCACCTGGGGTCGGGACCAGACCGTAGGATCTCCCGGACAGAATTTGCTTAGACAACACGTGTTGCCAAATGGTACCTCTACGCAACAAGGTTTGCGTAGGCAGCCAGCGCCTCCTTCTTCGTGGTGAGTGGGGCAAGGCGCTGAGACGGCGCGGCCGGCGCGAGCACTCACCTGCGTTGGGGTCCGGGGGCGCGGCGGGGCCCTCTGCGTCGTAGAGCACGAGCAGCGGCTGGCGGCGCGGCGCGTGGCGGTGGCGGCGCGCGAAGGCCGGCGCGTGGGCGGGGCCGCCGTCCAGCGCCGACGCCGTCACCAGCAGCCCCAGGTTGGGCGCGTCGCCCGCCAGCCACGCGCGCACCGCCGCCGCCACGTTGAACGAGTGCCAGGCCGGCGGCGCGCGCGCGCTCGTCGCCTGCACGCCCAGCAGCCGGTGCTCGTCGGCGCCCGCGCCCGCGCCGCGACCGCCCTCCACCTGGTACACGCGCAGCTGCGCCCACACGCGCGCGCGTGAGCCGGTCTTCAAGGGCACGGAAGGAGCAGGATGAATTGTTAGCGATTCCGGCCGCGACAACTGCTAAGGTCATTAGTCACGTAGGCGTAGTGCATATAGCTGTATAGCGAGATCCAGCGCCGACCTATTGTCAGCTAGCGGGGTTTTCCCCAACAAGGTATCTCATCAGATGAGGGTGCCGCCTCAGTCGGGACAAGATCTAAGCTCCCGACCCGTCTACCGACATATGCGTTTGCGTACTGTGAGTTAGTGTAAGTACTGTGAGTAAGTGTAAATGTTTGTAATTAAGGGGCGAGGATAGGACAAGAAAGGAGGAGAAAAGGTTGCGGCCCGTTTGTTAGGGTACTGCTATGGCATTCGCCTGGTGTTGATCGGAGAAACTACGGAAAACTACTCATCAGAGCCGTCGGTCGCTATGAGTTTCCTCCAGACAGTGACGGAATTCGACCTAGCGGACAAGTTAGTTGTTCAAAATCCTGCCACCGTCGGGTCGCGAACCTAAGACCTCCCGATCAGAAGCACTGCGGTAACATCAGTTGATGCACTGAGCCACCGCACACGGCACGAGGTAGAAGGAGAGGGACACAATATCATCCAATCGGGAGGTTTAGTACTACAAATTTAAGTCGTAACGAATCTTCAGATTGGATGACAGTGTCCCCTCTCCATCGAGATCGTGACCTTGAAGTGCCACTGTGTAATTCGGACTATAGTGCAGTGTTTCTCAAATAGGTCGGTAACGACCCCCTGGTGGTCAATGCAATTTTAAACGGGAGTCAGTAATAAGCAACGAATCGATAGCCAAATATGCACCGACAAATTTTCTGTGTAATCAAGATCATATTGATTACAAAAATATAAATGAAGATGTTAATTTTTTTCTTTTGTACATGTTAATAACGAAAAAATTAATAATTTTAATGCTACAAAATATTAAAAATGTATATAAGAAACACTTTTTAAAAACTTTTCTTTGTTCTCTATGCAATTGTTATCAAGTAATTTAAGTGCAATTATTTATGTTCTGAGTATTTTATAAAGTGTATATTATATATAAATGTTAAAAGGGTCTATGAAGAAAATATTCCTTTTCTATGTAAAGAAAATGTTGGGAGTCCCACCGCTAGTGCGTAGATGCACCTCTAGTGCAGGTAGAAGAGAAGTTATTCCTATGCTCCTGACTAAAAGGCAACCCGCAATGCATTGGTGAGCTGCGGGAACATAAACTTGTAACTGCTGAACACCTGTGCACGATGAATGGCAATTTTAGGCTACCAATTTTAGACAAATGCCACATGCGTGACTTCCATATTATGAGGCACATTTTATTTAAAAAAGTGCCTTTTACTGTATTGGTTATATTTTGGTCATCGAAATAAAGTTCCACAGGTATCAAACAAATTCTGTCAGTTTTCTCACCAAGGACTTACAAATGGGTGTTATTATACCTTAAATTCTAAAGAAAATATTGAGCATAATACTAGGGAACACATCTGTCACAATATGTTTTAGTTCTCATTACCACATATTTTTGTGGAGATAATTTACCATTTTTATAAATTATTAATTAAAAATTAAGCACGCAGTTTCTCGAATATGTAGAGTAGAGAAAGTGTTGGAATGGTTGAAACAGTTGATGTCGAAATATTGACGAAAGTGCACATTTTAGAAGACCCTGACACACAAAAATAGTTTTTTCAAAAGTCTACCTGTCTGTCCATCTGTGAAAAACACTGGTTTCTGAACACTGCGACTGTTCTGGTCGCATTTTAGTCCAGAGAATCTTTCAATTTTTGGGAGTACTTTTCATGAAGAACGTAGGATTTTATCAAAGATTTTTTGGATTAATTATTTGACACAATGCGTACGCGTATAAAAATGGGACAAGTCCGAGTTTTACTAAAACCTCTGAAATTTCGAAAATCGTAACAATGTAACATATTTTGGACCCTCTCCTACAACCACAATATTACAAATAACCATTTTTTGAATTGGAATGGACCTTTCGAAATTATAAATCATTACGTTTGCATGACCACTTGCGGCAATCTGTCGCCCAACCATTCACAGTAGATTTTTGGTGTGTCAGTAGAAACACAAACTAAAGTATTGTAGTTGATGAGAATTGCATAGTTTTTCTAGGAAAAAATAAAAATACTTTTCTCTTATAGAAAGTGTTTTGCTTCTACTTAGTTTTTCTCTAACCACACTATTTGACTTACATTATTTAATGATATAACCATTTAAAGTATCTCTTAGTTATAAAGTCGTTTCTATAAAATACATGTAAGCCTAAGCTTCCTGGCAGCCTAAATGACTGAATTTTCATGAAACATGACCTACCTTAAAACATACTGTTGTACTTCAACTTAATAGAAGTGTTGGACCTGGAACCGATCCAAAATTACCACATCTGTAAAATATTTCCACCAGTTAAGTTTTCATTATAATCAATTATTAAATATTTTTATCTTCATAAACAGGTGCGGTTCCAGAGACGAATTTTGGAACGAGATATTTTTTATTCAAAATACTTTGTTCGAATGTGTCGTATTACATATTATGTAGAATGATGGGAGCTAAACTCATCTCATATAGCGATACAATTTTATTCATTTTAAGGTTTAAAATTTCGGTTCGAATATAAAGTTTGAATTTCTATCAAAACTGCCTATCGAAGCTGAGATCGCCCTTTAACTAAGACGTAAGTTTAGCGATCGTTTAAGTTTGGTAAAATGCTGTGTATTTTCTAACAGATCGTTAATAGCTCCTAATATCTGATTAGTGTGTAAACAGGCATAGGTGGAATTATACTCGGATCATGATCTCACAAGTGTGTGTTAAGCGCCTATACTGCGAAAATACGACGTACCTTCTATGGTTGATAGAATATTTGTCTCAGAGGAACCCGTTGTCCAAGAGAAGTCGAAAAAAACCTTTTTCTCAGCGGAGAGCCGGGTGATTCATTAGTTTGAAGCCCCCTCGATGTATAAGAAGGAAGTTCCGTCCGCGGAAATACCATTCAGAAATGACTCAGCTCATCTGTGAAAGGTAAAGATCTGCTCCACTTTTCTCCCTGTGCGTGTTGTGTAAAAAAAAGCAACGACAAGAGCTTCCTCGAGAGTTCATTCATGCTAATGTGCTTATTGTGTTCAGGCAATTCAGCTTCGTCGTCTTTGTGTAGTTTACATTGAGTTTTTCATTGTGGAGGAGATAAATTCCGTAGATTCCCGTTATGGCTTATGACTTACACTGTTTGTGGAAAAATGGTGTGGAGGAAGGATGCAGTTGTGTGAGGGTGAGGTATTAGAATATCATGTGGCGGTACCATGGGATTGTAAATAATCAGCATTGTAATCAATTATAATGGTAAAATATGTTAGTAAGATGCACATTGACCATTACATATAGGGAGTTTCTTAATATTAAAGTGAATATTAATCAATTCGTTGCGTGACCATCCCTAAGATTATTAGACCCTTAAGTGTAGTGCATGTTGTATACAGAGAGGTGGCAGTATTGCTTTCCCGCCAAAACCATCAGGCCGACGCCCACCTACACGTCGGCTTTCTGGTTTTCCTCTCCAAGTTTCTCGTCAAACAAGGTACCTCTCAAATCGAGACATCCTCTAAGTTCCCGTCTGGTATCTGAACGTTTGTGGTAGTGGAGGTTAGGCAAGTGTACGTGACGGGGTAACGAAGAAATAGGGGATAAAGATGAAGGAAAGATCGCACCCGGTTCATAACGAAAGAATATAGAAGTATGAAAAAAAAAATAGTCGCCAAAATTTAAATTTTAAATAACATTAATATTTTATCAGTAGTTTCTTAATTATTTTTTAAGAGGATCTTGGCGATGATGGTTGACAATATATATTTCTGATATCTGTCTGGCCCGGGTTTCATTAAATAATAGTAATAGTTACGTTGCGGTTAATAAACATATACATCAGTCGTAACTTCCTTCCACATATTTAATGCCATAGTTTTGATTTTACAGCGTACTGAAAAGCATAGCACAGACGCTTTATTTTCCCGCCATTTTCCAGCCCCACTCACCCCATCTCACCCCACACAACCCTGTCGTGCCTCGCTCAGCCCGAAAGGACACCGGCCTGGGTGCGGCATACCTGGCCGTTATAAGTCATGAATGGGGAAAAACCGAGTAACAGGAAAGTTGCTGCAGTTTATCACCTCACGTTCGCCTCCTATGCCTCCTTCACGTGCCAGACCCGGCTATGTGGACTGGCGGCAAAGAAAGGAGCAGGTGTCCGCAGACCATGACGGAAAGGTGTAGGTGAGTTCGTCCGGTGTGATGATTTTTGCTCGATCAGCACCAGTTTACGTCACGTACCACGTGATCACATTACGGACACTTGGTTTGAAAAGCCAGACCAGACGCTGGCCGTCATGTTGCACGTAGAGGGCGAGGTATTGAGATACATTTGAAGAGTGGCATAAAGCGACAATTTCCAAGCAACAATTACACGATGAAGGTGTAATTGAAATAAAAGATGCAATATTTTTTTAAAAACAGCTTCATATATATTACTTGTAACGAGGTGATAATTTCCATATAAAATTCCCACTAATGTTGTGACACTAACTGGTGCTCGAAGTTCATTGGCTGAAGACGGATACAATGCGCGTTAGCTCACCCATGTCTTTCCATCATGGTCTGAATAGTAGGCGTAACGTTGACCACAGACATACACGTTTTGCCGTCAATCGATATCAAGATCTCACAAAACATGGATTCCGATTTCATCGTAGAAGTACATTTCATCTGGACTGCGTAAGCAGTATGCGAGAATGTAACTAGTGCTACTATCGAATAGCAGATACTTTCTCACACTAGTTAATTTTCTAATCACTGCAATCTGAACTAGCTTTTTGGTTCTGCCTCAACTGCATCTCACTACCTACTGTATTTCTGCGTAAAATATATTGTTTTACATTCTCGAGCACAGTATGAAAGACAGATAATTAAATGTGGCAATGTTCAATATTCCATGGCCCAGAGAGGGTTGCGAGTTAAAGTAAAGCCCCTGTAGCGGCTGGGGGTGGGGGCGTGGCTCACCAGCAGCGGCGCGCGGGTGCGGCGCAGGCGAAAGACGCGCAGCTCTGCGCCCAGCACGCGCTCGTCCGCGCGCAGCCGCGACACGTTGAAGCGCAGCACGTGCTCCTCGAAGGGCTCTGCGCACGACACAACAGCACACAATCAGACAGGACACAAGCACAGTCTCAGAAGTGAGGATCATTGACGGCTTGCAAAGCCGAAAGAGTCAATTGCAAAAACATATCTTTTCCGCGAAATAAATAAAAAGGTATATGAATTCGTATTCTTGACACAAAACCAGAGCCATTAAAGAGAGATTTCTATAAGAAGGGACCGTATTGACAGCTACTGCTTGGCCACTTCTAGCAACTTGGTGGAGGGTTATGTTCATACACGCATTGTTTCTGCGTTCGGTTAAAGTTAGGTCATTTGTAAATGGCCTCATCATTAATTATTGTAGATTCATCGCCCTGCATGTCGTTCATTTGTTTCCTGACCTGTTTATGTGGCCCCTTCTTAATCTAACTTCTCTATACAATAACGTGGAAGGTGTTTGGAACATTGCTCTTTTACCTGTGTATTAGGGTCGAAATATTTACTTTTTTGATACAACCTTCGTTTCGTAAATGTGCGCACTTTGCTCCTTTCGCTTTGCAATGCCTCAATTGTGATAAAATTCATTGCCTGATCGGGCATTGTATGTAGCATGTAATGTTTGTTTGGTTGTTAATCGCCTTTGGTATATCCTAGTAGCTAGATACATGGTAACAAGTAGATCGCCTAGTACGTGGCAACGTGGTTACCCTTTGTACCAAACTGACGATCACTATTTTCTTATTTCATTCGGTTTTAATAGTTTATCTAAAGTCAGATTTTACGAATCTGAGAAACGTTTCGTAATTAGTCATCAAGACATACGTGTGAAAGAAATCCATGCTGCACGATAACGGCAGGCCAGTTTTGTAATGAAAGGTAAAAGTATTCACATATGTGTTGTAGCAATCCATGGGCTGATAGTTACTACTATAAACATCAGTCTGGCCCATTTTGTTGGGTGAAAATTTAAATTTAAAGAAACAAATTGTTCAATGTATTTTACAAAGTGAATAAAATGTACGATTTTCATATGATAACATTTATAACATAGTCACCATAGTCCAATCTCGTATTATATTTGATTTCGTTTTCTAAAAAACCGAACCACAACAATCACAAAAACCGTTTATGAAGTATGGGGGTGAAGTGTAATCTGCGCTCGTTCTCATGAGCTCCAGAATGCCTTTTCCCTCCCTGCTGACTGATGATGAAAAATATGATCAAAGCGAGGTTATGCGAGAGTGGTTTATTTTGCGCAGTGCGTGCTGCATTCCGTGCGTGTTGGCTGACGCATTCCACTCGTCGAGTGAAGTCTCGTACGTAGTGAAGCGTCCGTGAAGCGCAGCGCTGGGGGGCGTGGCTCACCTTGCTCGAAGAAGCTGCGCACGACGTGCGCGCCGTGCGGGAGGGCGGAGCGCGCGCGCAGCACGCCGTCCGGGTGCGCCACGCGCCGCTGCAGCTGCAGCATGAACTCGGGCGCCTCTGCTCGCCGCCCGCCGCCCTCGCCGCTCTCGCC